GCTCCCGTGATGATCATGATCAGGAATGTCCTGTCGTAGCCGACCACCCTTTCCCATATCCCACACTGAGCTTTGAAAAGGTGGGTATGAGTGAGGAGATGCAAGAAGATCTCATGAAAGAAATTGCTTGGCAACTTGCTCTCCAATCCGTGTTAGAAGAAGAAGAGCGAGAAAGGGTGCAAAAAGAAGTTGTGGAGGATGACGAAATTGAAGCAGAAGGAGTTCTTGATCATTTCCCAGGGGTGATACCACATGAAGAAGGAAGGGAGGTTGAAGGAGCAATTGGCGTCCAGGCTGAGGACGAAGTTGAGGTGGAAGAGGCTTGCACCGGCCATGAGTTACATTTGATATCTCCACCAAACTTCGAAGAATTGCTTAGCAAGGACCCATTTGCAGTGTCTCTTTGCCAGACCAAGGCCACTTCGACATCGGTCCCTCTTGGTGGACGCGATGGTGGTCAATCGATGCTGTCATATCTAGTTTGGGGAAATGAGACGAGAGAAGAGAAGAAGAGGTCTCGAGAGTGGAGACTTCATCCGCGTCAAGTGCACGAGCTTCCATCACCTGTCATACCACATGCTCGTGACTTGAGACTCCACCTCATCGACGAGAACCTCAACTTCAAGGAGGTTCTAGCATGGACCGAAACTTAGAAGCCATCGTCTGGCTCACGACGTGAAAGAAGCGCTTGTTGGGAGGCAACCCAACCAGTCGGTTTGCATTTCTTTCTCTATTTCTCCTCGGTTGAGTCAGTTTTGTTCTTTGATTTTAGAGTCCATAACTCAACCTTTGTGAGATTTTGTGTGGTGTTTGTGTTTCGACCACTCTCTCCTCATGGAATGCACTGCCTGCCTCGTCCACCGCCATTCACCCTTGATCTGGTAACTTCGTTCTACCCTCCTTATCTTTCCTCCATTGAGGACAATGTCGTGCTTAAGTGTGGGGGGTGTTCGATTACGTATGCGGGTAAGTTATTAGATCTGTTTGTGTGCTTGGAGCCTAGTCCACTGTCCAAATTTTTGAATTTGAGGGCTCCAAGTACGTGTTCCTTGCAATTGCCTGCTCAGTATGCTTTGAATTGACAGTCTCTGTAGTGATTTGCAACCTAGGGAGGTAGTGTAGCGCTATGGAGGATGTTGATGCATTTAAGACGTTTCATTTCTTCTTCATAGTGTGTTGGTTGATTGAGTGAATTAGTGATCTTAGGACCCCTGAATTGTGTGGTGTTGTGGACTCTCTGCCTGTCATGGACTCGTGTATCATGTTTTGAAAATAACAGATGCTCGAAAATGTGCTTTAAAATGACGTCTCCCGTGCGAATAGGGCGAAAGTGTGTAAGGGGAGACGGGAATCCGTTCCCAATTTCCACCTACTACCTCCAGCCCCCTTACATGTCTTTCCCCCGCACGAGGCTCGAGACAACTGCTCCTGGCATGGCCGGTAAGAGCCGGGCACCCGCAAAACCTTTGCTAGGTGGGAGCCCCCGTTTTCTGCAAAAACAGGTTGGAACCCTTGAAAAAAGAAAAACAGAAAAACAGAAAAACAAGCAAAAAGAAGAAAGAAAAGGGGTTCCAACCATCTTCAAGAAGGAAATCGAGCACCTTGAAAAATGTGAGTCCATGATCTTTTGTTTTTTAGAGTCTCTTCATCCACGATTCATTTGTCCTCTGTTCACTGTTTGCCATGATGCTGACTCGAGACTAGTGCTCTCGCCGAAGAAGCTATGAGATGACTTGTGCGTCGGTTGACCTCGTAAGTTGCTAAATGATCTAGGAAGTCCTCTACCTACGATCGAGGTTGTTTGTTGCTATAGAGGTCTGGAGAGTTGCATTGGTTTGAGTTAGGTTTGCTTGGGGACAAGCAAACGGTTAAGTGTGGGGGAGTTTGATAGACCGTTATTTACACATGTTTTTACCCCTGCTCTTACTCCGTTTGAGGTGTTGATTCTCGTGTTTTAGGCCGATTTCACGCTAGGTTGTGCTTGTTTGTGATATTTCAGGTCCTAGTACGTGAATGGAGGCTTGGGAGCGAGTTTGGGGTCGATTGGACGAGGATCGGATGCAAGGCAAGGTTCCAAGGAAGTCGCGTGGGCACGCACGGGATTGTGCGTGGGCACGCACGGGATTGTGTGTAGCCACGCACGGCCGTGCAAGTGACCAGTTTGGCCGTGCGGGATTGTGCGTGGGCACGCACGGGCACAAGTGAAATCCGCACGGCCGTGCAACATACAATTCTGGCCGTGCGGGATTGTGCGTGGGCACGCACGGGATTGTGCGTGGCCACGCACGGCCGTGCAACATACAATTCTGGCCGTGCGAGTTGGCTGAGGTTCAACTAATTGATACGCCGCGTTTTGAGGTGCACGGCCAGAATGGTGATGTGCACGGCCGTGCACCCTGGCCGTGCGGGTCGGGAATTGTTGTTTAAAACCCGATTTTCAGCGAAAGGAGAGGGGGAGAGCTGGGTTTTGGATCCCAAACACCCAAGGGACGAACCCTAGAGAGAGAGAGAGGGCGATTTGGGAACATTCTTGGAGCTATTTTGGAGGATTTCTTCGCCATTGGAGCTCGGGAATCAAGCGCGGACTTGAAGACTGATCATCTGAAGATTCTTACTGCAGTCTCTCTCTTCTCTATGGAGTAACTTCCCTTCACTTAGGTTTTGAGGAACCCTAGCCATGTTTGTTTGATTGGATGATTGTATGAGTACTCTGACTTGATAATCTTGAGTTCATATTCAATCTATGCATGTTTTCACGATTCAATTCTGCTTTAGTCGAGATTATTGATTCTGCTTTGATCCTATGAGAGCGAATACCTGATTAGGTCAATAGAGCACCATAGATTGATAGTAGTGGATCGATTGCTTTAGTCGAGGGTTGATTCACTGCTTTGTATCGATTGAGAACCTCATTCGATAGAGGGAGTCTAGTTCAGAACGCCTTGATCGATTGTTCTAGAGAAGGATACGTCCCTCTAGGCAATTGACTCAAGAGGGCCTTGTTCCTTTAGTCGAGACTCAAGGTCTAGTCAAGGATTCTCCGCATTGTGAATGAAAGTGAAACAAGTTAGAGATCATCGATCGTTAATCTGGCTAGTGGCTAGGGGGAATCATACCTAAGTGAGTTCCCAACCTGTAATTAGATTAACTTTAACTGTAGTTTGCTAGAGTAGTTTTAGTTCTTTCAACTTAATCTGTTTTGCTAGATAACGAATTGAAGCTGAGTAATAGTAACTCTAGAGACCCGTGGATTCGATATTTATTACTTGAGCCACTATACTGCAGTCCCTTTCATTGGTTACACTTGGCCATTGTTAGGAGTTGTGTTTTAGCAATTCAACACGCTTGACTGCCTTCCAATGATCCATGCTTGGATCCTTTGAGTATCTTCCCAGTACTCCCACTATGAAAGCTATATCGGGACGAGTACAAACTTGAGCATACATAAGACTCCCTATTGCAGATGAATAAGGAATCTTCTGCATTTCCGCTCTTTCTAGATTGTTTGTAGGGCATTGAGCGAGACTGAACTTGTCTCCTTTGGCTACTGGTGTATTTGCTGGGTTACAATCTTTCATGTTGAATCTACTCAAAACATTATCGATATAGCTCTTTTGTGATAATTTGAGAATACCTCGAGAGCGATCTCTCAGTATCTCAATACCCAATACAAAAGAGGCGTCACCAAAATCTTTCATTTCAAAATTCTTTGTTAGAAATTTCTTGGTTTCGTGCAGTAAGCCTATATCACTACTGGCGAGTAGAATGTCATCAACATATAACACCAGGAAAATAAATTTACTCCCACTGAACTTGTGATATACACAATCATCAACAAGATTAGTCTCAAAACCATATGAGCTAATAACTTTGTGAAATTTGTGATACCATTGACGGGAAGTTTGTTTGAGACCATAGATGGACTTCTTAAGTTTACAGACCATTTTCTTTGGATCTCCCACAACAAAGTTTTGTGGCTGAACCATATAAATCGTCTCATCAATGTCTCCATTGAGAAACGCAGTCTTCACGTCCATCTGATGTAGCTCCAAATCAAAATGAGCCACTAGTGCCATTATTGTCCTAAAAGAGTCTTTCGCAGACACTGGAAAGAAAGTCTCTTTGTAGTCAATGCCTTCCTTTTGAGTAAAGCCCTGAGCGACTAGACGTGATCTAAATCTCTCAATCTTACCCTTAGAGTCCCTTTTGGCTTTAAATATCCATTTATTACCAACCGGAACTACTCCTTCAGGGCATTCAACGACATCCCAAATGTCATTGTCATACATCTATCAATTCAAGGTGTGGATAACGTTTTCATAATCTAGGTACTGTACTCTATTATGTAATTAAGGGGTACTGTACTCTATTTTTTAAGCGTTAGAGTACAGTATCATGTTCGAAAGAGCACTCACTTTTTTGGGTGCATTCAATGCACTCTCACCTCATAATCGATATTTTTAGTAGGCGATTCATGTCAAAACGATGATAATTGTCGCTTGATATGAATTATGATGAACAAGAAAATGCATCAATTTGTACAAAAATTATTCAAGATGTACTTTGATTTGAAAGAAAAGGTTTAGGGTTTAGAGATTTAGAGTTAGGGTTTAGGTTTACAATTTGAGGTTTTAGGTTGGAATTCAAAATTAAAGGTTAAGGGATTAGGGTAAAGGATTGATTTGAATGGATGAAACCCACTAGACCAGTTATTGCATAATTCTCCTATAACCTAGAATAGATATATCTGATGCTCTCACCCTATCCAATCTGCTACAAGTTTTGCCATCACAGACCAGAACCTTGAAATGCCAGCCTCCCGATGCTTTTCTCTTCATCATGATTTAGCAAGAGTTCGATTGAACCATGGAAAGAAGAAGTAATCAGTGGATCTATTCATGTCATAGCAATCTCTCACTAACAATTTCTACATAAACAATTGTGAAGAAATAATTGAATTGAATTTGAATTTGAATTTGCCCTCTTTTTACACAATCTGATCAGAGCAGCATCATGACCCGGAACTCGTCGAAGCAAAGGACGCCGTCGCCATCCGAATCGAATCGAGCGATCATGGCCTCGCACTCGTCCATGGACCTGGCGGGCTCGCCAAGCTTGATGAGCATCGCTCGGAGGCTCCGCGGGGTGATGAAGCCGCGTTTCTCCCCGTCGTCGTACAGGCGGAAAGCTTCCTTGAGGTCCCGCAGCTTCTCTTCCTCTTCCCCTGCTTCCACAATCTGGATCAGGTCGTCCAGGCCCAGCAGGATCCCCTCGCCGGAGCTCAGCCAGATCAGCTCCTCTTCCTCTCGGGTCAATCCCAGGCCCAGATGCTGGTTCAGCTCCGACGGGGAGACTTTGCCGTCACCGTTCTCGTCCAGCTGCCGGAAGACGCGCTCCAACTCTAGAGCTGCGGGGGCCTTGTTCATCACTGTCACCATCGTTACTTGAAGCGAAACAGAGCAGTCTGTCTGTTCTGTAATTAAGGGTTTGCTGCTCTTTCCTTGCTTTGAGGATATCGCAGGCAGAGATTTGTGGATGGAGAGCATCTGGGAATCTGGGTATTTATATAAATCTCGGGGTGGGTAAAGACGTAGCCGTGTGGGCTTGGGTGCTGCCGCCTGGAGATGGGAAGGAGTCGAGAAAGCTCGGGTGCTTCTTCAGCCGTGACGACTGACGAGTATAAGGGGCTGAAAAAGCGTACAAGACGCGCAAGCCAAATAATTAATAGATGTTCTATGTTTATTAAAAATATGTAATTGTCTACTTATTAAAAAATTACTTTAACTAATTTGGTCAGGCAAGGCAAGCGTTTGTTCTATATTCCCTGGGGTTTCAGCGGCTCACGAACCGTGTGGATGATAATTCACAAGTTTCATTCGAGAAATTGGAGGGAGAAATTGGAGAGAATGTGAACTTTTTCATTGTTCATAAGTTTTGCTATAGTATAGAAGAGTGATTATTTGCGGGGAAAATTTAGGGAATTGATAAAGGTCGTCCTTAAAATTACTATTGATCGTCCTAAAAAATAATAAAGCTACACTTTTAACCTTTTGGCATTTTTAGCAAACAAACGTCACTTTAACTAAAAAAAATGATAAACACTCAATTCCCCACACTCTCGAATTCATCGTTGACATTCTCGAGTCGTAATCGTTGAGAATACGTACGAATCATGAGTAGCGACTCCGACGAGGTAAAAATCTGATTTTTTTTCAAAAAAAATTCCAAAACCTCTCAACCGAAGCCAATTTTCGGTTGTACCATGGACCAACCGAAAATTGGCTTCGGTTGAGCCATGGTGCAACCGAAGGTGCTTCCCCTTTTCTTTTTGTTTCTTTAAGCACCTTTGAGTATGTCTACCCAAAGAACTTGTACCATTTCCCGAGGGATCCCCAGCCAGTGACTTTCCACAGTAATGACACCTTGCCTTCTTCTTGCCTTTAGCATCTTTGTAACAATCATAATGTTGTCATAGAGGTGACCTTAACACATACTCCCTAATAAACTAAAACTACTCATTAATAAAATAAAACTACTTACCCAGCTGCTGCTCCCTTCCATTTTTCAGAGTTCGGCAATTGTTCCTCAAAAGTCGACGGACGGGGCGACGAGATTGGACGGAGGGCGACGAGATTGGATGGAGCTTAGCCGGCGTCGCGTCGTCGCTGGGTCGGCGCGGAGGCGGGTCGTCGCTTGGTCGGCGCTGAGGCGGGTCAGGGGGGCGGAATTGTAAATGGGCTCCTATGGGCCGTCGGGTAATGGGTTTGTTTGGGCCTTTATGGGCTTTGTCTTTGGGTCAGAATTGCCTCTGGTCTGGTCTGTTTTTACTCATCCGGTCTTCCGGCTTTTACACGGTTTTGACCCGGACTGGATTGGTCCGGGTTTTTTGCTAATTCTGAGACCAAAGACGGGATTGGATTGTTTTACATCCGGTCTCGGTCTTAAAACGGTCCGGTTTCCGATTTTCCATCCGGTCCTGGTCCAAATTGCCAGCCCTAGTCGTAAGGGTTTCCATTGATGAATCCCCCAAAGAGTTTCAACTCTTGCAGCTTGTGGAACACAGAAGTCTACACCCCAAATTTCGAGCTAAGTTGAATGTAGTCTCAGGGCTACACCTTGCACTTCTAGATTTATCGAACCCATACACGGACCAATCGTCTATGAACATGGATTTGTAGAGTGTTGGTACTAATTTTATAGTAAGTAGAACATGCTCTGGTATAGAATAAGGTATGTCCCTCCAGATAAGAGTTGAATCACACAACTGTCACAAAATGAGGTTCTGCCAAAAAGGCAACTAGGCAGCCAATTCTGCTCCTTCGTGAAAAGATTACATAAACTGACTCGGAAATACATACTCGGAGAAATAGGAAAAATAGACACGAACAATAATAAAAAATGAACAAAAAAAAAAAAGAAAGATCAAAAGTAAACCAAGAATCTAACCTATAAATAAATTACGAAAGAACATATAACATGTACCTTATCCCTTTATGATGATCGTGAGAATTCCCAGCAACAACACCAAAATTTGATCACGTTCAGTATCTGATGCAAATTTACCTGGTTCAAAGATGAAGATCGTACTACATATGGTCTCTCACGACCACTTACTCACGTGGTGTGGTGAGAGACGAGTTCTCTGTGGTTAACAGAGAATGTGGAGGTTGAGGTTCCTCCGAGGTTAAAGTTTCCACTGGTTTTAAAAAACAACGCAATCCAGGAAAAATAAATCTAAACTACTAGCTGGTGAAGGGCGCAAGAGGGTGAAGGGCGCAAGAGGGTGAAGCATTACATAAACAAACTCCCACTAGAGTTCCTTTGACTTGCAAACTTGATTTTGTAAACATATGAGTTGTTTAATCTATGTGAGAAACATTTAATCGTGAGTCAGCTTCGCTCTATCGCTTGGTGCATGCATGTGCAAGGAGCAAAGTCCTAAGTGATGGACGAGACAGATGAAGGAAATATATATGTATCTTTGAGGCTCTAGACTAGCCTCCTCCCCAACCTCAACTATGTGGCTCCGGAGGTGTTTTTCTTGTTTCCTCTCTGCCGGAGACAAGGGGCACCTCAAACATGCCTAGAGAGGGGTCAAATATGCTGGTGGATAATTGTACCCCTAACTTTTCGACAAAGTCATCATATTTTTCCTCAATTGGGCTCCCCGCTAGTCGATACTTGATGCAGATTTACTTAGAGCTGTTGGTAAAGTTGAGTCGGAGCGAGCGTTGTAGATTTCTGGTTCAAAATATTCTAAGTGATAGTCCCATATATTTATGAATAGTGACACCCAAGAGTGACCATCGCCGATTGCCCGCCATCGAGTACCATCAGATCGCGAATTCATTTAGAGTTTTTGGGGAGTTTTCCCCCTCCCCCAGGGATGTGCAACAGGGTGGTCCATACCGGCCCGCACCAGACCAGATCGACGCTTGGACTAGACTACACTGAATCGGATATATTATGATTCCGTCTTTTGTCCCATGAATTTTATAAATACTGTAAGAAAATGGAGCAAATTGACATTTGGACAGGACCAAAGCGGACCAATACACTGTTGAGACCATCTTTGGTACTAAAATATTTTTTACAATTGGACTAAGTTTTGTCTGATCTGGATCGTTGCACACTGCTCTTCAACTCTGTACCTTTCTCAAACCAAAGATAGCCAATTTTAGTTTTATAGCTCCGCAGTTGTGCCCTTACACTTAGGGGTGTTCAAACGGTGTGGTTACCATGGTAACCCTTTTAACCACTACTATTTGGATAATTTGGTTTGGTTAATTTAGATAATTGGTTTGGTTTGGTTAAAGTTCTTAGCTTGTTTGGTTTAGGTGGTTTGGTTTGGTTTCAGACACTCGTAACCAGCCAAACCAAATTAACCAGATAAATAATTAGCCATATATCTAATATATACACATACTCAGTACTTTGAATAACCACTCAAGAGTTAAACATTCATCCCTTTTAGACTCATAAAATATAAAGTTTGATATTGTTCCTATAATGTATATTTGTATATGTAGAGTGTAGACCACAACATATGAACGCCTAGTTTAGATAAATCTCATACACTACGTTGGATGAAAACTTGAAAGCAAGGACCTTTTCAGCCTATGAAAATTGCTAAAAGACTAAGTCAATTCAAACAAACACAACAATTCATTAACCCGTACCATTGTGATAAATTTTTGTTAGGTGAATACTTCTATACTAATCGTAAGATAATTGTCTTAGTTGCATGTATTTATTTATGTTAAGGGTCAACTATAACTATGTGTTGATTGTTATGTTTTATTCATTATATAAATTGTGAATTGATAAATTAACATAAAACTTTCTCACTTAATGATAATGTGATTTTTTTTTATAATGGCGATTATATTAATGAGAAGCAAAACAAAAAGAAGCCACAACCAGGGAAATGGTTCAAGAGGAAAGAACCAGGATCCCAAGCAAACCAGACCGAACAACATGTAAAAGAAGAAGACAGAAAATAAAATGAAACAGAGGAAGAAAGGAGAAATGGCTAAACGGACTGGGAACCGTTCCTGCCAATCAAAAAAAGAAAAAACAACAAATCAGACCGAACTGACACTGTTGTAAGCCAACTACAAGCAACAGACAAACAGAAAGAACATCAGAAAGCAGACAACCAAGGCATTAAAACTAGGATAAGAACTCAGCAAGCCAAGTAACCGCATGCTCCTTGTCAATCTTGTGATGAGCAGTAAGCCAAACCACAACCATCTTGACTGATTTTCGAGCAATGATCTTGGCGGTAGCACCAGAATTTTTGAACATCCTCTGGTTTCTCTGTAACCAAACTGACCAAAATAGAGCATCAAGAATACTGATATTGAACCATTCATCTATGCTGTTGGGGGACAGTGAAGGTCTATTGCCAATGACAGCAGATACATCTCCATGCAAATTGCCAATGAAGCTCTTCTTCCTCTTGATAATACTCCAAGCATCCTGAATAAATTCGCATTTGGTGAAGATGTGATCAGCATTTTCTTCCTCCTTGTAGCAAAGGGTGCAGCGATTAGCAAGGTGCGTCCCTCTTCTCTTAACAACGTCTAAAGTGGAGATCCTTTTAAGCCAAAGAGTCCATATGAAGAAGCAAATCTTGCTGGGAATGAAGGGCTGACAGAAAAACCATGGAATTTCTGGAATCCATGGAATTTCTCAATGGTAAGCTGTTCATATGCAGAGCTGACAGAAAAACCTTTTTCTTGATTCGGAATCCAAGTGATCCTGCAAGGACTGTTAGGAGCAAGATGCACATTTCTAGAATTTAAGAATAACATAAGTCTCTCTCTTTCTCTCTCCGCTCCCCCTCTCAAGCTAACTCTCAAGTTAATGTTCCAGGTTACCTCATTGTCAGTGAAGGAGGCCATGTCGCTGATCCGAGCGGCAG